TAAATTCATAAAAAATCCTACAATGTGATTTTCTGGATTTTCTTTTCTCAATTTGTCTGTCATAGTTGACGTGTACCTATGATGAAAATTACAGGCCTCTCTCATCTTTTTAAGTGGGAGAACATGCACAATTGGTGGCTGACTAAATACTTTTTTTCCCCACTGTATTTGATTTGACCCAATATTGTAGTTTTTCATTTAGGCCAAAAAGCTAATTTCATTACCGTGTTGTCTTGCAGTATTACTTAACAGCCTTGTTGCAAACAGAATGGATGATTTGGAGTTGATTTTTTAACACAGGCTTCCTTTTTTTCACTTTGTCATACAGCCCAGTAATGTGGAGTGAACGCAATGCTGATCCTCTGTATTTTCAAGTATTGTGGTGGCAGCATCATGTTATGTGTATTTGTCAGGGTCAAAAGATATACGGAAGGAGCAAAACCCAGATAAAAAGTTAAAGGAAACCCTTCCTCAGTCTTCTGAATACCTAACCCTGGTATAGTTTTATTTTTCAGCGGGACAATTAAACAAATGTTAATGCCACAAAGCCTTTCCAAGAGGTGTTGAGTGTTCCTGAATGGTCCAGTCTCAGTCCTGACTTAAATCTGCGTGAAAATCAGAGACAATGTTTGAATAATGCTGTCCAGCAATGATTCCCAACCAAATGTACTGAACTTGAGCAATTTTGACAACAATTATGGATATACATTCTAGCATTCCAGTGTTAATACTAATTGTAATTATTTTGCACTATAGCCTATTTATTGCCTTACCTCCATAACTTGCTACATTTGCACACACTGTATATATATTTTCTGTTGTATTTTATGACCTTATGTTTTTTTTACCCCATATGTAACTCTGTGTTGTTGTTTTTATCGCACTGCTTTGCTTTATCTTGGCCAGGTCGCAGTTGTAAATGAGAACTTGTTCTCAACTGGCTTACCTGGTTAAATAAAGGTGAAATAAAAAAATAAAAAAATAAAAATACAGTATGTTGCCCTAAAAGTTGTGGAAAATGTGTAGAATCTTATTCAAAATGATTCACAGCTGTAATGGCTGCCAAAGGTGCTTCCACCTAGTTTTAACTCTGGGGTGTTAACCATGATCTCGCCATCACGGTTGACAACTCCGCTGTGTCCTCCTCCCAGAGTGCGAAGAGCCTAGGCGTGACCCTGGACAACACCCTGTCGTTCTCCGCCAACATCAAGGCGGTGACCCGCTCCTGCAGGTTCATGCTCTACAACATTCGGAGAGTGCGACCCTGCCTTACACAGGAAGCGGTGCAGGTCCTGGTCCAGGCACTTGTCATCTCCCGTCTGGACTACTGCAACTCGCTGTTGGCTGGGCTCCCTGCCTGTGCCATTAAACCCCTACAACTCATCCAGAATGCCGCAGCCCGTCTGGTGTTCAACCTTCCCAAGTTCTCTCACGTCACCCCCCTCCTCCGCACACTCCACTGGCTTCCAGTTGAAGCTCGCATCCGCTACAAGACCATGGTGCTTGCCTATGGAGCAGTGAGGGGAACGGCACCTCTGTACCTTCAGGCTCTGATCAGTCCCTACACCCAAACGAGGACATTGCGTTCATCCACCTCTGGCCTGCTGGCTCCCCTTCCTCTGCGGAAGCACAGCTCCCGCTCAGCCCAGTCAAAACTGTTCGCTGCTCTGGCACCCCAATGGTGGAACAAGCTCCCTCACGACGCCAGGACAGCGGAGTCACTCACCACCTTCCGGAGACATTTGAAACCCCACCTCTTTAAGGAATACCTGGGATAGGATAAAGTATTCCTTCTAACCCCCCCAAATTGTAAAGTGGTTATCCCACTGGCTATAGGTGAACGCACCAATTTGTGAGTCGCTCTGGCTAAGAGCGTCTGCTAAATGACGTTAATGTGCCCTTGAGCAAGGCACTTAACCCTAATTGCTCCTGTAAGTCGCTCTGGTTAAGAGCGTCTGCTAAATGACTAAAATGTAATGTAAATGGGTGTGAAGACTCCTGCCATAAGCCATAAGACTCCTGAACAGCTAATCATGGCTACCCGGAATATTTGCACTGCCCCCCCACCCCATCCTTTTTACGCTGCTGCTACTCTGTTAAGTATTTATGCATAGTCACTTTAACTCTACCCACATGTACATATTACCTCAACTACCTCAACTAGCCGGTGCCCCCGCACATTGACTATGCAACGGTACCCCCCTGTATATATAGCCTCCCTACTGTCACTTTATTTTACTGTATATATAGCCTCCCTACTGTCACTTTATTTTACTTCTGCTCTTTTTTTCTCAACACTTTTTTGTTGTTGTTTTATTCTTACTTTTTTTGTTTAAAATAAATGCACTGTTGGTTAAGGGCTGTAAGTAAGCATTTCACTGTAATGTCTGCACCTGTTGTATTCGGCTCAGGTGACCAATAAAATTTGATTTGATTTGATTTGAAGAAATATGGAATCAAGATATCTTAGTTTTTTTTTTGTGGAAAATGTTCTATAATTTATTTAGTTTTACGGCAGAAAAATGTGAAGACAGTGTAGACTTTCACAAAGGCACTGTATGGGTAGTATAGTCATATATTGACAGCTAAGTGCGAAGGTCACAACAGGCACTGATGATGCATCATAATGACATCCAGCGACATTGCATCATAATTTATAGGCCATACATTAGTACTGCATTAGTACTGTAGAGATTACAATTATGATTATATTAAAGAGATACTTTGGAATTTTGGCAATGAGGCCCTTTATCTACTTCCCCAGAGTCAGATTAACGAGTGGATACTATTTTTATGTCTCTGCATCAAGTATAAAATTAGAGGTAGTTTTGCGAGCCTATACTAGTGTTAGCTGACTCGAAGTGTATGCTAGCAGATACCATAGACTTCCAGTCATTGCACTAACGCTAGTTAGCAATTACGCTAGCGCTAGTTAGCAACTTCCTTCAAACTGCACGCAGAGACAAAAATGGTATCCACGAGTTCATCTGACTCTGGGGAAGTAGATAAAGGGCCTCATTGCCAAAATCCTGAAGTATCCCTTTAATGATAGGCCTACTGGGTGTACTTTCATCAGGTCTAGAAGGACAGAGAGTGAGGGACTCTGTGTGTAATTGGACTAACCAGTTGGCCTAAAAATAAAGAACCTTGTGGTCTGTTTATAGTGTAATGAAATGGACCTTGACCAATCAGAGCCTGTGGACCACCTAGGCCAGCAACTATCATCAGCACCTCCAAATGAACCAATCACAGGCTAACAATGTGTCCACCAGGGGCAGGACATTCCAGCAAACTGGAATCATGCTGCTACTGCTCAAACACAACCAGAGATGGCCGCATCCTCACCAGTAAGTCTATAATATAAGTCTAACATAGGTTAGGGTTTAGGCTAGGGTTAGGGTTGAACCGGGATGTGGATTTACCCACGAGCTAGAAAGTGTCTAGATAAGTAGGCCTACATGCAGATGACGGTCACAGACTTGGTTGGCTCTCACCACTGACTGGCTGAAAGAGGCCTGCCGGGAGAAGAACAAGTGCCTGGGGAATTGCCAGAGTAAGTGGAGTAGGAAGCCTGGGGGGATGCAACCATTCATGGAGGACAGGGAGAGGAGGACATTGCTGGGCCATGTAAAAAAAAAAGGGAGGTGAGGAATGTGCTATGCAGCCTCCAAAATCAGTCAAGGAGAAAGGCTTTCTGCATGACAAGGAGGGGGAATGAGGAGCTCTACAGCAACTCTATAGCAGACTTCACATCCTTCTCAAAGGGAGCGGAGGGGATCCGTGCTATGAGATGCAGCTTCCCTTGAGTTCAGAGGGGCCAGGTGTGGCTCAAGTGTGGCTGCTTCTAAGGCAACTGGAGACCGAAGTCCACAGTCCAGATAAGACTGAAGCAGGCAGAAACCAAGCCATCTGGAACTTCGATGCCATTTTGGGGAAATTGGCAAAAACATTGAAAGGAGTAGAGATAGAAGATGAAGTGGAATATGGGATTGAGGATGATCAGAAAGGGGCTGGCTCCATGCACTGAAGTCAGAATGGAGGAAGAAGCAGAAGAACATGAGGAGGCTGCATTTATTGAAGAGGACTGTTGAGGTCTGCATGCCTATTCATTCATCCATTATCCATCCATTCATACTGTACATTTGAGCAAATTATCCATCTCTGATTACATCCTTTTTCGCCATAGGCTGTTGAAGTTGACGACAGCTGTGAAACACTGTGACTGCAGAAATAACTGTTTTTGAAGACATGCAGAGAAAGATGTGTTCTTGACTCATTGGTTCTGCTTTGAACAACATTTTACTTCACTTCCACTTTACAACATTTGTATGGGCTATAAAAGTTAAGTCACACATATATATGCATAGTGTACTTTGATAGGAAATGTAATGTATTATTTTTGTAATATAAAATGTAGGCTTAAAAAATAACGATATCCAATCAATAAGCACTTTCTCTCACAAAAAGTCAGGTTAAATGCAGGCAAATCCTTCAGATTTGATGACCTAGCCAGAGATACTTTTAAGAAGATCGGGAAACATTGGAATTGAATTAACGCCTACTGTATACGTTGCCCGTACTTTGTCAATGGCCGCGCGGTGCATTCTGGATACACTCCGATAAGGAGATCACAAAAGCCCAACATGAGCACGAATTACGTGAACAAGAAGCTCAACATTACACATATTTTTCAGGATTTGAGATAATTAACTTGTCATCTGTAATATCGTATAGCTTTGAAATCGTGATATTATATACTATCGAGGGAAATAGGCAGGTTTCTCGACTCATACCCTGACTTTTACAAAGGATTGGGTGACGAGTAGTTTAACAACCACGTGACGCTGCATAACAACGTGAACGCGATTGGTCGACAGTCTGCTGGCTGGGCGTTATATTTTGTCCCATTCAATTCCCTGGGATTCTTTTCTCCTCATTTTCTAATATCTCTGACGTGGCATGTATATTTTGAATCTAGAACGCGACCCGGATGTGGACATGCGCATTTCAATTTAGCAGTCGGAAGGAACTGGAAGATTAAGGGAAGCGACGTTTCACCAGGAAGGAGGCTTACGGATTTCACTTCAAAATGATAAAATTTCTACCTAAACTAATTTTGCTGGTATTACTAGCTTTCCCGGCAACGATTGTCATGAAAGGTGAGTCTATCGAACTGGACTTAGGTTAACTAGCTGAAGAGAAACAGCCTTGGCCATCAGTCACAGTTAGCTAGCTACAGTAGCTAGTTAAGTTAGCTTTAATGGAAGGCCACTCCATGCTCATGTGCAAATTTATATTTTCTGCTAGTACGACATTGTAGTTACTGTCCATGTCAATTAATAGTTTTATTGATGTTGATACTGGCTACACGTTTTAGTAACTATTCATTGCAAATGTTATATAATAGTGAGTCTTGCTTAGCCATAATAGTGTGGTAACTAACGTTACCTAGCTAGACTGACGTGTCCTTCTTTCCAGCCAACTTGCTTTCTAGAACCGTACCGTAATTAATAATCGATTTACGTTTAGTATTTGGCTGTTTTGTCTTCCAGAGCCATTTTGCCTTTAAACAGAACATGTAAGGTCGTTGGACTATAAGGAGTAACGTTAGGCTCCTTTAGTCCATTATTGGGCTAGGGAGAATCAACCTCAGAAGTCCATGGAAAATAAGAGCACCTCCTCCCAACTGCCCACTGCACTGAGGCTAGGAAACACTGTCACCACAGATAAATGTACAATAATCGAGAATTTCAACAAGCATTTTGCTACGGCTGGCCATGCTTTCCACCTGGCTACCACTACCCCAGCCACCAGCTCTGCAACCTCCGCTGCAACGTGCCCATGCCCCCCCCCGGCTTCTCCTTCACACAAATTCAGACAGCTGATGTTCTAAAAGAGCTGAAAACTCTGGACCCCTACAAATCAGCTGGGCTAGACAATCTGGACCCTTTCTTTCTAAAATTAGCAGCCGAAATTGTCGCAACCCCTATTACTAGCCTGTTCAACCTCTCTTTCGTAATGTCTGAGATCCCCAGAGATTGGAAAGCTGCCGCGGTCATCCCCCTCTTCAAAGGGGGTGACACTCTAGATCCAAACTGTTACAGACCTATATCCATCCTGCCCTGCCTTTCGAAAGTATTTGAAAGCCAAGTTAACAAACAGATCACCGTCCATTTCGAATCCCACCGTACCTTCTCCGCTATGCAATCCGGTTTCCGAGCTCGTCATGGGTGCACCTCAGCCATGCTCAAGGTCCTAAACGATATTATAACCGCGATAGATAAAATACAGTACTGCGCAGCCGTCTTCATTGACCTGGCCAAGGCTTTCGACTCTGTCAACCACCTCATTCTTATTGGCAGACTAAATAGCCTTGGTTTCTCTAATGACTGCCTCGCCTGGTTCACCAACTACTTCTCAGATAGAGTTCAATGTGTCAAATCAGAGGGCCTGTTGTCTGGACCTCTGGCCGTCTCTATGGGGGTGCCACAGGGTTCAAATCTCGGGCCGACTCTATTCTCTGTGTATATCAATGATGTCGCTCTTGCTGCAGGTGACGCTCGGATCCACCTCTATGCGGACGACACCATTTTGTATATATCTGGCCCTTCATTGGACACTGTTAACAAACCTCCAAACAAGCTTCAACGCCATACAACACTCCTTCCGTAGCCTCCAACTGCTCTTAAACACTAGTAAAACTAAATGCATGCTCTTCAATCGAACGCTGCTTGCACCCGCCCACCCGACTACAATCACTACTCACGGCGGGTCTGACATAGAGTATGTGGACAACTACAAATACCTAGGTGTCTGGTTAGACTGTACACTCTCCTTCCAGACTCACATTAAGCATCTCCAATCAAAAGTTAGATCTAGAATCGGCTTCCTATTTCGCAACAAAGCCTCCTTCACTCATGCTGCCAAACATGCCCTCGTAAATCTGACTATCCTAATGATCCTTGACTTTGGCGATGTCATTTACAAAATAGCCTCCAACACTCTACTCAGCAAATTGGATGTAATCTATCACAGTGCCATCTGTTTTGTCACCAAAGCCCCATATACTACTCACCACTGTGACCTGTACGCTCTTGTTGGCTGGCCCTCACTACATATTCGTCACCAAACCCATTGGCTCCAGGTCATCTATAAATCACTGCTAGGCAAATCCCAGTCTTATCTTAGCTCACTGGTCACCATAGCAACACCCACCCGTAGTCTGCGCTCCAGCAGGTATATCTCACTGATCATCCCCAAAGCAACACCTCCTTTGGCCGCCATTCCTTCCAGTTCTCTGCTGCCAATGACTGGAACGAACTGCAAAAATCTCTGAAGCTGGAGACTCTTATCTCCCTCACTAACTTTAAGCGTCAGTTGTCAGAGCAGCTTACCAATCACTGCACCTGTACACAGCCATTCTGAAATTAGCCCACCCAACTACCTCATCCCCATATTGTTATTTATTTTGCTAATTTGCACCCCAGTATCTCTATTTGCACATCATATTTTGCACATCTATCATTCCAGTGTTAATACGAAATTGTAACTATTTGCACTATGGCCTATTTATTGCCTTACCTCCATAACTTACTACATTTGCACACACTGTATATATATTTTCTGTTGTATTTTTGACTTTATGTTTTGTTTACCCCATATGTAACTCTGTTGTTTTTATCACACTGCTTTGCTTTATCTTGGCCAGGTCGCAGTTGTAAATGAGAACTTGTTCTCAACTGGCTTACCTGGTTAAATACAAAAAAACTTGGCCACAGAAGCCCTCTATTGTTGGCAATCATATCAGTGTTTTGCTTAGAAGCTTGCAATATGAAACAGTAATTTAAACATTAAATGACGTTTGTTAGGCCTAGGGCCTGTGACTTTAATGAATACAATATTTGTTCAAACTCAGTTTTAATCCCTTGATACGATATTAGCTATGTAACTAAGCGCCCTGGTGTGAACATAATAATAATAATAATAATAATAATAATAGGTTTCATTTTGACTCCTACTAGCACAAGTTTTCCAAAAATTCGATTTGGTGAGATTTTAATCACAATCAATCCAGGGCCATTGGTGGCAGCCCAGGATGCTACTGAGGACGAGGAGGCAGCTGATGAAGATGATGTTGATGTGAACACAGAGGATGACGAGGCCGAAGTTGAAGATGATGAAAACACGGAATTGGTAAGAGATTAGGCTACTTTTGGCTACCTCCTTAAATGCCTCCTGGCATTTTTCATTTAAAAAAATCTTTGTCTAATTTTTATATTTTAGATAGAAGAAAAAGAAGAAGAGGAAGAAGCCATAGGAGGAGAAGTGAATGCCTCCCCCAATGCTGACACCACCATCCTCTTTGTCAAGGGAGACGGTAGGGGTACGGGCACAGATTGGGGCTCGTCTCAACATATCTATCTGCATGTTGAATTTGCACTTCATTTTTGTCATTATGATTGTTTTGAACAGTGTTTTTTCACTTTAATTCTAAGACTATGATTTGTATTTGGAGATGGATTTACTTAGCTACGATGCTTAGGCTATAATATGTAGTTTCAACCTCTTTATTTGAGTGCATTTATTGCACTGAACAAGTGTCTTCTGAATGACTTGAATTAAAAGGAATTCTTCATATTCTGACAAGCCCCGGGATGCTTCAAATTCGCCACCACTCATATTCTTTTATTGCTCTTCCTCCTGGCGTTTGCCTCCAGACTTCCCAGCCAACGACATTGTGAAGTTCCTGATGGGCTTCACCAACAAAGGCAGTGACAACTTTGTGGTGGAGTCCCTGGATGCATCCTTCCGCTACCCACAGGACTTCCAGTTCTACATCCAGAACTTCACAGCCCTGCAGCTGGGCATAGTGGTGCCAGCCGGGCGCCAGGCCACCTTCGAGTACTCCTTCATCCCCGCAGAGCCCATGGGCGGGCGCCCCTTCGGCCTGGTCATCAACCTCAACTACAAGGACAGCAACGTGAGTGGGCCTCAGCTTAGTCAGCCATTTTTTGAGTCTTTTTCACAAATAATGGCATGTCAAGAATGGTAATGGATTTGGTTTCTGTCTCCTTATCTTGGCAAATGTTGAGATATAACATATAGCCACTAAGCTTCTTTCATTTGGCAATTGTTTTTATATTAGGAAATGATAGTGGAAATTAGTTTAACTCATGGTGTGTGGCTGAAGTCTTCCCAGTATTTGCATGTGAGGTTAAACTTTCAGGTTAACCCGGGGAAGATAAAGGGGGGTCGTAGTTCACCAACTGGAGGTGATATCTGATCCTCTCGCTCTCTCTCTCACACCTCTCTCTCTCTCTTTCAGGGTAACATGTTCCAGGATGCTGTGTTCAACCAGACAGTGACCATCACCGAGAGAGAGGACGGACTGGACGGAGAGACGTGAGTGAGGCCAGATGGACTAGCCCTGTGTTGGAAGATATTCAGAAGGGCTAAATGAAACCACTATTGGAGATGGCTGCCAAACCGCCATACCAGAGTCCTGTGGTGGTGCAGAGCGTGTTAACTCTTCTCTATCTTCTGTATCCTAAGGATCTTCATGTATGTGTTCCTGTCTGGTCTGGGCCTGCTGGTGGTGGTAGGCCTTCATCAGCTGCTGGAGTCCAGAAAGGTAAAGCTACAACGCCCACGCCACCGGACGCAGAAGATGGAAAGAGAATGAATTAAGCATATAATTCCTTTATTTATGTGTGTGCTTTCCTATTTTTTTCGAGAATGATACGAAGACTGAAAGAGAGAAATTTACTTTTGATAGCTTTGCTGAGGCAATGCACTATGACAAGATTTGCGTAGAATATTCAGCACTAAGCGACACCTACTGCAGAGATGATGGTAGATAGCAGTCCAGAGAGAAATGAATTAGGAGATGCCTGTTCATATTCAACGGTGGGATTCTCTCAGTTCAGATGATTGTCAGTGTGTTGTTAGTTGACGCTGATGTTCTTCTTTCAGGTTGAGCACAATAAGGGCCAGAAAAGGATTTGAGATAGTACCACCGCTTTTCTGAGGAACATTGAGGTAGACAGGGAAAGAGGAGGGAGACTCAACGTGCCAATTTACGACTTTTGGGGCGAGTTCAGTTTCAGCGCTTTACTACTACTACTACTACTACTGGGTAAAAATTTTTAGAAAAAAGACTAGGGGAACAATGTTGAAAATGTTATGGGTGTGGCGGATCATTTTGAGGATTGTGTGTCAATGTTGAATGGAGGAAGTTCAAGTCTCCTAACCCACACTAGAACATTTCAGAAGACTGAGGGTGGAAAGGGTTTAGGGTATACAAGATCATTTTAGTGTTTGGTTTCTGTAGAAGTCTAGTGGAAGTCAGTTTCGTTGCTTCTTCAGTTTAGCAACTCTTGTGCCCCCCCCCCCCCCCCCGTGCAGAGGAGGAGGCCAGCTGCGAAGGTGGAGATGGGAACGTCCAGCCACAACGACGTGGACATGAGCTGGATTCCCCAAGAGACCCTCAACCAGATCAGTAAGTCCTCACCACACCACTCACTCAACATTATGCTAGCTAGTAGCCACAGGGAAGCTAGTGGTTTATGCTAGCCATTAGCCAAAGGACATTATGCTAGCTAGTAGCCACGGGGGAGCTAGCTGTTTATGCTAGCCATTAGCTCCAGGGGTGCCAGCACCTTCAACAGCTCTGCCTAGGTTGCTAACAGTGTAAAGTTAAATATGAGTCTATTTTTGATTGGGCTGCTTAAGTACATGATCAAAATCTGTTTAAGCTACAGTGTCTCATTAAATGTGTGTTTAAGAAGACAGAAGTGACACACATCCTAGCTGCTATGCCCCCTCCTTGCTATGTTCCTCTCTCTACAGCCTACAGCTTTATAACATTGCAGTGTTTCATAGATGCCTGTTGTTTTCTCTGGGGGTATTTAGCTAAAGGCTCTTGAGTTTTCTGGGTTTGGCTGGTGTTTCAAAACTACCTGTTCTCTCTCTGTGCATTGGGTCATTCACTATTTTCTCTCTCTCTTTTTCCTTGCGTCTTCAGTGCAGAGTCGGCGAGGTGAGGCTTCCATTTCTCTCAGGAGCGAGCAGTAGTAGATTAGTGGTTGAGCAAAATGCTTACGTTTCCTCTGAATCGTCAGTGAATGTAATTATCAGTGCTTCTGAATATGCAATCTCAGTCATTGGTTCATGTTAGCCTTGGGTGTAGCAGCTATGGTCACTGACTTCAATCCCTAGCCCCTACCCTGAAACACTTTTCATAGGTCTGAAAGGATCAAATGGATATAGGCAATATGGTAATAGCGACGAGGTCTATGTGGAGCTTCTACCGTATTGCTTAAACTCATCAGATTCTTACAGATCTACAAGATGCGGCTAGATTTTACACTGGGCCTATGAAAAAAGTATTTGTTGATCTGCTTATCTGATCCAAAGAGTGACGTCTAAAAAGGACATCACCTGTAAACCTTTCCTAAAACTCTCCTCTCGTTTCCCTAGACAAGGCCTCCCCCAAACGATCTCCCCGCAAGCGGACACAGAAGCGCTCGGCTGGTTCGGACGAGTGATCGGGCCCCTGCCCAGTTCTGTCAATCGCGCTTGGCACCTGACACAGCCATACCGCACCGCGCCAACCTTGCCAGCGGTGGAGGCAACAGCCTTCTCTCACCACGGAACCAAGTGCCGTCCTCTTCACAAGAGACTGGTTTCTACCACTAAACTAGACAAAACATCACAACAAACGGTCCCATTTGTTAATTATTCTCTCAAAAGAAGTGTTATCACAGAGGTGTTGTGATGATGAAACAGTTAATGAGTTTTGAGTGAGTTTTTGTGAAGATGCATGTCTTGAAGGATAGGGAGGATTGAGATGATGATGATGGTGGATGGGAGTGGTTGGTATTAGAGCTGGGTAAATGATAGTGGGAGATGATACACTTCGGGGTTTTTGTTCTAGTTTTGTATTTTGTTGCTACATCCTTTTCATAATTTTTCTTCTGTGGATATCTTTTGAGGCAGAATAGTGATTGTTAATTTTGGTGTCTCGGAAAGCCATGATAACACACCCCTTTTATTTGTTTAATATCAGCACATTTGGGTTTCTGCCACGTTGTGTTCCTCTGCTTGGTGGCACAGAGGAGGCTTGGCTTCATGTCTTGTTATTGGTAGTGCACTGCAATGTTCAACCATCTTTGACAATTCTGTGAACATACTGAGGATATGGTCAACTGTCTTCATTTTCCCTCAATGTGCCTTTTTTTATTTTTTTTGGAAATTTACATTCTTCATATTCCCAAGATCGATTTACGTCAAGTACAAGTATGAATTCAGGAATATTTTTTTTTTTACTTTTGTAGGACCGCAATCTGGTGTACAGCACTGGTGTACAGTATATACTGGGGAATACATATGAGAGTGAACTACAAAGATAATTTATTCCTGGCTAATGGGTTTTTATATTGCATTTCTTGATTTGTCTGGGATTACTACTTGTGCATTTTAGAGCCACAGTACATTTACTACTGCACCACAGCCCATTCATAGTCATTTATGAGAGGGGCTTTGGGCTAACTGTTAGGCACTGACTCAGTTAGGCAATGAAATGGTCTCTGGGCTGTCAAATTTATGGAAACAAACCATTATTATTTACTGTTTAGTATCCTTCTATTGTTCGAGTCATGACATCTTTCACTGAGCTTTTTAATGAGAATGGGTGGATCCCAAATAGATTTTTGTTCTCTGATATTGTCGCAAACTTGAACGAGTATGAAAGTGAAGTGTTCATTTTTGAGACTGGTACATGTTGATGTAGAAAACAAACATTAAAGTGGAGATGAGATGAGAATATGCTATCTTTATTTACTACAGTGTGAACTAATACATATTTTATGTCTTCACTGTCAATTAAATAAGTAATTGATTAGTGTATAATTAGTAGAGGTGGTCCTCTGTAGCTCAGCTGGTAGAGCACGGCGCTTGTAACGCCAAGGTAGTGGGTTCGATCCCCGGGACCACCCATACACAAAAAAAAAATAATGTATGCACGCATGACTGTAAGTCGCTTTGGATAAAAGCGTCTGCTAAATGGCATATTATATTATTATTATTATATAGTAGAGTAATAACTGCATAGAGGCCGGAATTCAAACAAACCGCAATGCACTTACATTGCATTGCTCAAACATAAATAACCTTTAAAAAGTGCGACATCTTTGATTGTCTCCGCAAAGCATCTGAGTAGGAGTGCTCATCTAGGACACTGGTTCCCAACCTTTTCCATTCCGGGGACCACCAAATCAGTCAAAAGCTCTTGAGGACAACCATTTGCGGAGTTGCTGAATTTTTTAACAAAATATATTTTGAGTTCAAATGTAGTCCATTATCAGTGACTATAACATATTAAAGGCTTATTATAAACTATTTTCATTGTGAAAAGTCATTAACATTAATACGGCCCAGCTGTTATTCTTTTTGGAAGAAAAAATATCAAGAAGAAAAAATGGTACATTGGAGGACCACCAGTGGCATTCCTACTCTGAGGTGCTTTGTGGATACAGCACCTTTACTATTCCACTGCAGCTGGTGACTGGTCCCTGATCTTGCTTGGTTTACATCACTGTTTCCCAACTAAAGTCCTCGAGGACCCCCAACAGTACACATTTTTATTTTAACTCCAGACAAGCACACCTGATTCAACTATCATCAAGCCCTTGAGTTGAATGAGGTGTGTTTGTCAGGGGCTACAACAAAAATGTGTACTGCTGGGGGTACTTGGGGACATCACCCACTAGCCTATAACTGATGACACTGAACATTGTTACGAATTCCCTGCCGGTGACTCTTAACACACCAGCTCACAGCCCTCTCTGAGATAAACTAACTTTCTAACCTTTGCGGTAGGCTTCCCTTCCCCCGCTGGAGCCTAGCAGGCTACGGGCCATGAACTGTCCTTTCACACCTAGGGCCCTGGACTCTGGTTGGTTGCTAGGCTGGTTGTTAGGTGGCAGGGCATCTGTCAATCCTCCTGACCCTGCAGGTCACACACTTCTTCAAGTTGTGGCAGAGAGAGTGGGCTCGTTTGAGTGGTAAGGCGAAAGCAACCGACTGTAGACAAGTTTAGGTGTGAAGTCGGGGGAGGTGCATCTGCAATAGCCGAAGGTCAGACACTGATGTTTTCCAACAGCAAGGCTCAGTGCAACACCTCTGCCCTGCCCATCAACAGCAGTACTTTCTCTTTCTGGACATGTGGGATGGTGTGCCTGTATAAAGCCAGTTGTCTGGAGTATCGCTTTTGTTTATTTGATTGTCCAATAAATCCTCAAACGCTTCAGGTAAGAGAGATGGTCGTTCCACCAAATGAGTCCCTTTTGCATCCCTTTGATATTTTAAGTAGAGCCTGTTATATTAAATGAAGTGCCTTCATATATATAGACCACATGGAAAATTTAATAAATCTGATTTTTTATATGAATAAAGACTTGCTAAAGTGCCAAAATTCAGCATTTTGACGTGTCCCTCTGTGCACTGACTTCTCTGAAGATTTGTAACCCACTTAACCCCAAGATTTCACCCTCATTGTAAAGCCCTCGTTATTTTGTTGCTTTGACAGTCATTTCGGAAGTTTATTATTTATTCAGTGATTCAGTTTAAGGCAAAAAAACAACAAACAACCTGTCCCTATGCAGCGTTTCCCAAACTCGGTCCTCGGGACCACAATGCAGGTTTTGGTTTTTGCCCTAACACTACACAGCTGATTCAAATTATCAAAGCTTGATGATTAGTTGATTATTTAAATCAGCTGTGTAGTGCTAGGTCAAAAATCAAAACGTGCACCCATTGGGGTCCCGAGGACAGAGTTTGAGAAACCCTCCTAAGGTCAAGGGGGTCAAGCATAACACATCAACCCCGTTACCCATAGCTAGGCTAGAAATGTTTTAACAATCACATGTTTTGTGAAGCTTGCATTCAATTGCCCCGCCGTGTTGCACACAACATTACTCATTTAAGATAAAAACGTCAACCATGTTACTTTATTGGGCACTTAATATAGTTATTTCTTTAATTTCACCTATTGAGATGGGAAAACATGTAAGGACAAACTTTATTAAGTTAAACAAAAGGGACTCATTTTGTGGAACGACCCTAGACAGGGCATGGGTGAATGCTGACTGAGTATGTTCACTTTGCACCCTACATTCATGGATTCATGATTACAAGACCCACATGCTTGATTCACAGTATAAAATAGGGCTAACCCGACCATAATATGCTGGCTGGCTTGGGTATTGTCTTTTCACATTGTTCACATGCTTTCCAGCACTGTTCCAGCAATTATGGTGGACGTGTAAGCAGGCCAGCCCAACATACAGTACCTCGGCCTGACTCGGTTTGAACTTTGACGCCACGTAATCAGGTTGTACAACTGATGTACACATACTTGACACCATGGTTGTGACACAAAAATCATTGTGAGGTGTCTCCAAAACAGCTGTGTAAACACATTTTGTAAGGACAAACTCTCCATTGTATCACAACTGTTGTGTCAAATGTGTTGTACAAACTTGTACAGGGCCATACAGTGTGAAACAGGCATCAAAGTACCAGTGATCGATGCCGGTTTGGGCCAGACAAAAAACACCACTAGGCCAGTTTGATTCACACCTTTCCTTAATATATCTTTATTGCTTAAATTTTTTCGATACAGAACAGCTTACATTTCTGATTATGAAGCGCTGTAATACCAGGAGGGAGGAAGCAGTGTAGCTAACGTTGAATGTTCTGATCAGGTCCTTTTATGGGGTCAGTTCTGGTGTGGCCGTAGCAGCGACACTAAGTTCCCTTTCACAACGGGTCAGAACTTCAGACAGTGACACAGACAGCCACTTTAATTGGTTTTTACAGAGTCACGACTTGATTTCCTCTTCAAAACAAGAGAGGATATTATAGTCAAAGGTGACAGCAATTTGAAGTGAGGGTTAGAAAGAATCAAAAGGAGTATATGGGTATACTTTATGGGTACACTGTTCAAAAAGAATGCTGCTGAAAATAGTCTTGACTACGACCTCAACCACAAGGATTTGAGCACAAGTACATTTTCTCTGTTCTGCTGATTTGAGTTCACAATCAAGTGCTAAATGTAGTGATTGACAGTTGTAAGCGTTACAAATAAAATCATGACTTGGAAGAACTTCTTGCAACTCAGGAAAATGAAGTATTGAATATGCATTTTATAAAGACCCTGAGAGCGAGAGAGAGAAAAAAAGAAATAATCCTTAATTGAACAAAAGGTTTACATGCAACACTATCCTAAAACTCACCCATTATACACAATGAATTTCACAGTTTTATACATATTTATATATCAGGGGGAAAAAATCATTTCTTAGCCAAACTAAAAACAATAAACAAAACAAAAATAGATCCACACGGTCTATAAAACACGTACAATGGTATACATAAAGCTTTAGAATCAATAGTGATTATTGCTAATAGAAGTTCCAGGCCGATGCTGGGCGACCATTTTGTGGATTTGAATCCGTTATTCTCTGCAGCATCAATGTGGTAATAATAAATGGCTTCTCCTCAAGTCACATCTCTTCACCCCTCACTGGGTTTCCAAATAAATACAATAAAAACAGTCCATGTGCATTCTTATGGGACTCATAATCACACACCCACACAGGAACAAATGAGAGAAGCGGAGTCCCTTGACAGTGTTTTTTGAGGACAGGATTCCATTTTGCATTCTAGTCTGCCAATACTTTCCCAGTGCCTGAGAGCAGGGTTGGGATGGGGGAGATACCGGGGTATGGCCACTAAAGGGCAGTCTTCTGCATGGAGTAGCAGCCTCGCCACCTGTCAACGCACCACCCCACCCCCCTCCCCTCCACTTAATACTCTGTGTTACGTTCAAGTTCCAAACACAGCTCAGAAATTCACTTCGGTTCATTCTCTCTCTGATTGCTTAGCCGTTTATTGTCGTAGTAGTAGGTTTGTTTGTATTTTGTTAGTGCCAGATGGGCAGTTGTCCGGCAGCGGCTGACTAGTCCAGTGCTCTCTGCTCTGTGGCTGTCCGTCAGCCTCCAGCCAGCCGATGCTGCCTGCGTCTTACAGTTCATATGTGCGCCATGAGGTTTGATATGTTTGCTTCTGAGGTTTCTTTATACAAAATGAGAAGAAAAAAAAGAAAAAAAATTCTACTAAATTCAACCCTGCAAGGTGACATGATTGATATTTGAGTCCCACCTCGGAAATATACTCTTGGGCTAGGGGGGCGTGGAAGGGGGGACTGACCAAACGAGAGGCAGCAGGGAGACTAAAGTTAAAGTAGACAAAACAGAGTAGTGTTCCACCTAGAGCACGAGGTGAGTTCTGCATCAAAATAACCTAGCAGAACCACAGGTAAGGCTTTGAGAACACAGTGACAGTCGTTTTGGAAGACGTCTAAATTAGCGGCAAGAAAATGAGTTGCCACTAGGGAGGAGGAGAAAGTGGACACAAGCTAGACACTGGTGGTAGTACAGACAACATGGGACCTCCGAGAGAGGTTTCTAGGAACGCTAGAGGGTGACGGTGAGAGATGGGGGAGATACACATATCAAGCCCTTTTGTTCAGGAAAAGCAAAATTTCCGCAAAAACCTTGTATCCCCCCCACCCACTCCTGAACGAATAACACACACACATACACAATACTCCAAATGCAACATGGTCAACGCACAAGGAATTAAATGAGAATGATTCTGAAAAAAACACACGGTTCAGGCAAATATTGCCCATATTATCTATGGCAAGATAAAGAGAGCATAGGGGATGGGGGTATGTTAAAACACAAAAACAAAAGCAGAGTTCTCAGATGCGGCAGGCTATCCATTGTCAAGTCTGTTTTCATTGAGTCACCCGTCTCCTCACACCAAATCACGTCACAGTTCATGAATGTATTCTCAAAACAAAAAGAGAGACTGTAGACGTTGGTTATCAGGGATAAGGGATCGTGTGAGAAAGGGACAGGGAGGAAATCAAGACGAAAGAGAGAGAACAACGTCAGTCTTTTTTCAGGACACCTTTGACAGTTGTCTGCGATAGCGGTGTTTCCAGTTACATAAGTGACTTTATCCCCACTGCTGTGAACTGACTCAGTCTCTGCATTGTTTTTAAGGTACGACTGTGGTTTAAATACACAATAATGGTTATTTTTCATCTGTCACACAATTGATCATGTCATATAAATCGGTCATGGTAAATGAGATTTCATTTATTGCTTATTCAAAGATCATCTCTTTATAGACTCCAAAAACAATTATGTAATCATCATAAAACACTATAAAAAATTAGATCCTCCGTAGATAAATGTAGATAAAGATATAGCCCAAAAAATTAAAATAGAAGTAGTAAGGCACTTAGAAACAAGGTGTTTCTTCTTGATTTCATGGTCTTGCATTATTGTGGGGTACTTCTATCTTATGGCACTGTGGCACATACAGCAGTCCCCCACTGAATTAAGAGAACCAGAGACTGGGGCCTCCCTCACTCCACGCCCACCAAGCGAGCCTCGCCGGCAGGTAGGATGTACTCCAGGGAAGGCTTGGTGTGGATCTCCAGTAGGCCTTGGATGAAGCCTTCCGATGGGCCCTTCGAGTCTAACTCTGGGGTTACAGCAGAGGGCTGTGGGGTGGGGGACTCTGTGGAGGATTCTTTGGGGGTTTCTGTTACTGGTTGTGTGGCTGCATTACTAGCTGTTTCAGAGGCTGATTCTGCAGCAGAGAGTTCTACAGCTATTTCAGAGACGCTGTCCGAGGCTTGTTCTACAGATGGGTCCGGAACAGGTTCCGAGGCTGGCTCAGTGAGCAGCTCAGCCACGGCCTCCGTAGCTGACTCTGACTGGGCTGGTTCAGTGGTGGACAGAGACTGGTCCGGAGATGTGGAGCCTGGTAGAGGGGCCTCTTTCTCAGCTCCCTCCTCCCTGGCCGCTCCGGTGCCCTCGCTCTCGTTCTCTGAAGGGGGGCAGGTGCTGGTTGGGGTGCACTCTCCCTCCTCGCTAGCTGAGTCTCCGGCCGGGGCCTCTGCCCCGTTGGCATCAGCTCCATCGCTGCCCCGCGGCTTCAGGTGGATCCGCTGGTGCCTCACCAGGCTGTGCTTCAGGGTGAAGGTGCGCTCGCACGTCTGGCACTTGTAGGGTCTCTCACCTTAAGAAAAATATAAACACGTACATAAATATTCACACATACACCAGAGCAGGGCCAGGTAAAACCTATCTTTAAAGAAGATAAAGCTACAACAATAGAATCTACTAGTACCTGTGTGCGAGCGCATGTGTCTCGTCAGATCCTGCAGTGACCAGAAGCGTTTGCTGCAGACGTTACAGATTTTCTTCCTCTTGTCCGCTTTGCTTCCCGACCCTCTGCCCACCTCTCCTTCTCCGTTCTTTGGTTCTGCCAAGCCCCCCTCCTCATCGCTCCTCTCCTCCTTCTCTTTCTCCTCCTCCTCCGAGCCGCTGTCCATCACACTTCCCGCTCCCTCGCTTTCCGGAGCCTCCTTCTCTCCCTCCTCCTCCTCCTCCTGATCCTCCTCCTCGGCAGTGGCTGTAGTAGCATTGGGGAGCTCCTCTGTGCCTGGCCTGGTCCCCTCCGTTCCACAAGCCTCCTCTGGGGGTGCACTCTCACACAGGTGTGCCTTCTCATGGCGAGCCAGGGTGGCGGCGTAGCGGAAGTTCTTCTTGCAGCTCTTGCAGGTGTACTTGGTGTACTTGGAGGACTCTTGGTCCTGCTGCTGCTGCTGGACGTCCGTCACCCTCTCCGGCTCGGCCACCACCACACTCTCTCCGCCCAGGGAGGTCTGGGGCTGCTCGCCTTCCGACGAGAACTTGAAGTCGATGAGCTTGCTGGCGAAGTTGAGGTCCAAGCTCTTGTTGCTCTGTGAATCATTGTCGTCATAGTCTTCATTTTCAACATTGTTGTTGTTGTTGCTAGGTTGCGGTTCCATCTCCCCTAGCAGCTGCTCAGCAGTGTCTGGTGTTTGGTCTGCACTGGACGACCCGTATGCGTCGCCTTTCTGATCGGGGTCCATGCTGCTCAGGTCCAAAACCTCTCCTGCAGTTTGCTCATTCTCGGAACTCTCTTGAAAACACACACAAAATGAACCGTCAAATTACAAATTGATTGGTACAGAATAGTAACCTATAGATCCTACAGTACACTACAGTATACTACAGTACAGTACAATACAATATAGTACGATACAATACCGTATACTACAATACAGTACAATACCGTATACTACAATACAGTACAATAACATATACTACAATACAATACAGTACAATACCGTATACTACAATACAGTACAATACAGTATACTACAGTACAGTATACTACAGTACATTACAGTACAGCGTAATACAGTACAGTACAATACAATACAATACAGTAGTACAGTTTCTTACCTGCGCTGTCGTGTGAACCCTCGTCGCCGTTCTTGGACACTTGGCCATTGCGGCGCAGCGAGCGGTTGGTCACGCCGTGCTTGCGCAGCAGGTGGCGCTCACAGTTGGACTTGGTGGAGAAGAAGGCGTCACATTTGGGACAGGGGAAGGGCTTCTGACCTGTAGCCGACAGCACATTAGAGAAGACTGAACGTCACATTAGAAGTATTAGGGACATGTTGTGGACAAAATGCACGCAGTTAGACCCTTTAGAAAACCTGTCAAATTAATAACTAATTAATATCTTGTAATTGTACTATCTTGTATAACGTTTTTCTACATTACCGAACAGTATCTTTCAGGTCTTTCAGATATCATCGCATTGTTTTAACTTGTCTATTTAAGCAGTATTTCAACATGACTTATTATGAGAGCTGTGTGTTGGGTATTTAGGGAGTTATCCAATCTGTCTCAGCCAGCTGTGTGTGTGTTTCCCTATGGCTCACCTGTGTGTGTGAGCATGTGTCTCTGCAGGGAGCTGGCCCAGGGGAAGACTCGAGGGCAGAAGGGACAGGTCATCTTCTGCACTGAGTTGGAGTAGGCATTCTTCTTCCCTCCTTTGGACTGGGGTGGCACAGACTGAGGAGGTGACTCTTTCTCCTCCTTCTCCTCTCCCGGGCTCTGTCTCCCCTCGTCCCTCCTTCCCAGCTCCGCCGCCCCCGTCTGCAGGTAGGTGCTGAACTTGTTAGCGTCGGTGGTGGCAAGCATCTTCTCCACGCTGGCAAACTCGCCGCTGGACTCCAGGTCCAAGCCGCTGCCGGTGTTCTGCTCGGGCGTGGGCACACGGGCAGGTGCCATAGTCTTGGCCTGGCTCACTTGCTTCTTTCTAGTGCGCTTTCTGGACGAGCCCTCTAGGAGCTCTTCCATCGACGCTTCTGAGCTGTTGTCGCCCCCAGCTGGACGCTCCGGTTCTGTCTGGAGGCCGTTGAGGGCAGCAGGAGCCTTGTTATCTGGCTCCCTCTTGAGCAGGTCTGGAGCCCCTGAGACGGAGGAGATGATCTGGGCGATGGAAGCCAAAGGGGGAAGCTCTTTCAGAGAGGAGGAAGAGGAGGTAAAGGCTGGTTTGGGCAGCAGGGGCTTGAGACGGAGCGCCCGGCCTGTGGCGGTGGGGGTGCCAATAGGGAGCGGGGAGGGGATCACTGGGGGGAGCTGGTAAGAGCCAGACTGGGGGGTCGTCAGCTTCTCCTCAGTGCTCTTGTCCAGCTGAAGAGCCTGGGGTAAGGCGAGGTGGTCCAGTACGCTGGGGAAGGGCAGCTCCTTTTTGATCTCTCGGCGCTCCACGCTCACCGGGGCAACAGCGATGGTGTCTCTCTTCAGACTCTTGCTGGGGTTCTTAGGGATGGACAGGTCAATAGGTTCCATGGAGCAGTCGTAGGCTGCCGGGCTGACCGTCTCCAGTTTGATCCCAGGAGACCCGGTCAGGCTCCCCGCAGTGCTGCTGGTCCCGCTTCCCCCCCGGCTCTTGTTGGAGAAGTCCAAGGGCTGATCCAGGTCACCAGAGGAGGAGTAGATGCTGAGATCCTCCACCTTGACTGGCTTCAGGGTGGCAGTGGGGGTGGGCGTGAGGCCGTTGAGAGCCAGAGGGCTGCTGGGGCTGGCCCTGGAAGTGGTGGCTGTGATGGCGGGGAGAAGGGTGGCGATGTGCTCCTCGATCTCCCGCTCCTGCACCTCAGGGTGCTGCTTGAGCATGTGGTGGATGCAGTTCCTCTTGGCCAGGAAAGCCGCCCCGCAGCGCCGGCACTCAAAGGGTTTGCGCTGGCAGCCGTTGTGGGTGCGCAGGTGGATCTGGAGAGCCCGGTAGCTCTTTAGATCCTCACCGCAAAAGCGGCAGGCGGTGTCGCCGGCAGCAGCCAGCTCCAAAGGATCCTGGGTGGTGGTTGACGAGACGTACTTGATGTTCTTCTCAATATCTTTCCGTGTGTTTTTCATATGCTTCTTGCGCAGGTGGCGCTCGCAGTTCGCCTTGACGGTGAAAGGGTAGTGGCAGACGCGGCACACATAGGGGCGCTCGCCGCTGTGCGTGCGCAGGTGGCGGATGAGAGTGGCCTTGTCAGGCGCCACGTAGTCACAGATGTTGCACTGGTGCGGCAGGATGCCCAGGTGGAAGCGCATGTGCGCCTGTAGCACCCCGGAGAAGGCAAACACCTGGTCACAGAAGCGGCAGGGGTAGGATGCCTTAGCACCCCCGCGGTTGGCCCCCCCTGCCCCCTTCTTTCCCCCGGCCGCCTGGCCCTCCTCTTGTTTGATCTGCAGCTCCGTCAAGTCGTTGGGCATGTGGGCGTCGCCCATGCAGTCCGCCTCCATCTGCATCTTCTCCAGGGAGGCCTGGCTGCCCGAGGAAGAGGAGGACGATGACGATGATGAAGACTCTCTGGGCATCTTGAGCAGCTGGCTGGGCGGCGGGGGCAGGCTGGGGCTGATGCAGCCCAGGGAGGCCTGCTGGGTGTTCTGGAGTGGCGGCGGCGTGGAGGCAGCCAGGCTGGAGCGTGGTGCCACCATGGGCTTTGGCTTCAGTGGGGGCATGGGCTTGCAGCCGGCCGCCTGACCCTGGCCGGACACTCCCCAGTGGGGAGCCTTGGCCAGGGGCGGCAGGAGGCCCATCTGACCAGGGACGGCCGAGGCCACCTTCAGGATCTGCTGGATGTCAGCCAGCTTAATCAGGCCATGCTCGCCACACACAGGCTTGACAGCAGTGTCACCGTCTGGCTGGAAGAGGAAGCCTGTGGGGAAGGGCTGCAGGGAGAGCAGGCTGAGAGCCTCCCTCTGGGACAGCCCCTGCAGAGACGAGGCAGGCACCAAGCCCAGGCCGCCCAGAAAGCCAGCAGCTGTGGAAGCCGCCTCCTGGGGCAGAGTGGAGTCCGGAGGCTCCACCTGGATGACCCGGATACTGTCCAGCTGGGCTTGACGGACCTCATCCTCAGAAGGCTGAGGCTTGACCTGGGAAATGTGCTGCAGACCCAGGGACTCTAGGAAGCTGGCCTGCTGAGGGGTCGGGGTTGTCGGCTTCTCCTGTACCACAGGGGTCTCTTGGCCGCCCCCTACGGGCGATGGCGGTTCCTGCTGATGAATGGTGGTCTTGTGCAGGTCTAGGGCCGAGCGCAGGGGGAAGGCCTTGTCGCAGGCCTCGCACACAAAGCGGTGGAACTTGCTGGTGCACCGGCGGAGATTGGTCTCACACCAGACCTGTTGGAGAGACAGTCAGACAGGGGGTTAGAGTGTGGAAGAGCAGACTGAGGGCTCGTGTGAGAGATGACCAACATACTAGTAGTATCAGTTTCATAATCATACTAATTGGTAGTATCAGTAGCATTGTGAGAATTAGCGTTAACATTATTCTGTCCACAATTTCTCCTCTGACCTGGGCGATGTGGGAAAACTTGCGGCAGGAGAAGTCGATAAAGGCCAGGTCGTTGAAGCCAGAGGGGATGGAAGGGTTGGTCTGGATGAAGGGCCGTCCGCCTGAGTCCGTGGGCAGCTTCTTGTGGATGCCGGCGTTGTGCCGCAGCAGGCCGCGGTGGGTCCGAAAGGAGAGGCAGCACAGGTCACACCTAGAGACAAGACAAAGAAATATGTTGCTATATAATACAGTGATTTTTTTACTATGTTGTAGTGCTGTGTTGTAGTTGGGTGTAAGAATGCACTTAAATCATAACCCTCAGCATGGCCTGTGGCAGTGCTGGCCCGGACCTCGTTAGGCACTATGAGGGACAGCTGCTCAGTGTCTCCTACGGCCAGCCCTCTTATCGGCCACCCTGTGATGTGGTGTCCGAGGAGATTACACACAGCTTTATCAAGGTTTATTTGGTTTGTCATTCTATCGTTTTTCATATCATTTTTGTGGCAATTAAATATCATTTATTTAGAATGGATCAGAATTTATTTTCAGTTTATTCTCAAATTGTTAAAATCGAGGGAGTGCTCCCCCAGCACTACACACTCACCCAGCCCCCCTCATCCCACTCACCCAGCCCCCCCTCTTCCTTTCCCTATGGTTTCACACCTGTGTGCAGGCTACTGTGGGTGTGCGGTGGGTAGTCTGTGTACACATTCATTGTGTATGCCTGTGCGTTCGTGCGTGCTTGTGTTTGCATGTGAGACAGACTGTGCGTGTTTTCTGTCTCTCACACAGGTCTGCGAGAGCCGTCTAATCTCACAGAGGTTGGCTCAAGCCTTGAGAATTACGCTGCAACTACAGGGTGGGTGTGTGTGTGTGTGTGTGTGTTTCAAGTTTTATTAGTCGTATGTACGGGATACACATGGTATATACCGTCCAACGAAATGCTTACTTGCAGGTTCCTTCTCGACAACAATAAGATAAGAATAGGAACATAAAGTAAATGACTCAGTAGAATAGAATAAACAGTGTTTGTGTGTGTGTGTCCCTGGTGTGTTCCTGCACGCCGAATGCGTCGTTTCTCAGCTTCTTAGAAATCGTGTACACAGAGGTACCCAAGCCAACCAGTGCAGCCATATCCTCTTAACTGGCCCTCTCAACTCTTGTGATTAACTGGGATTAGGGCTAAATTTGCAGCACTTCCTACAATAATCAGATTGCTGCCCAACTCAACTACGGAAAGGCTGCATCTGTCTTCTTTTCAGTTCAGACAAATACATTCCTATGTGTGAGTTATGCGCGGCTAGCCATTCAACCCAAGTTGGGGTTTGAGTTTGGAGTTGAGTCGCTATGGTGATCTGGAGATTGTGAGTTGTCCATGGAAAACCGCTCCCCTCCCCCTTCCGTTGTCCAGCCGACCGCGTCCCGACGCCTCCCCTCTGTGACTCATTAAACCCCCCCCCCCCCCCCCCACTCCAACCCTCCCGCCCTTTCCGGGGATAGCCTCCCTGCAGACTTTTCACACTTTTTAGGCCTCAGTGCCTGAAGAGAGGGGGTCAAAATTGGCCTTGCAGCACAGTGCTCTGAAGTTAAACTCTGTCATGTGAAACATTTAGTCTGAAGGTGATTTGATGAGTTTATCCATGATAACAAAGCGTTTAAAACACAATTTTAAATGCAAATATCTTCCCAATAAGGGAGAGACCACAGAGGTGGCCTTTAGCAGTGTGATGGAGAACCAGGTGTATAGGACCTGGGTGGAGGGAGGGCAGAGGTCATTCGGCATACATTCTGCCATTAATTCTAACTGTTGATTTGCTTGATATTTTGGTGACAATTTATTAACTCTGTGACATATCAACTACATGTAGAGAGTTGTATTGCGTTTATGCCATCAATGTAATTCCACTGTGTGTGTGTGTGTGTGTGTTAGACTCTAGTACCTGAGAGTGGTGTCGGGGTGTGTGTCCATGTGGACTTCCAGGTCGTACTTGCAGCCAAAGGTCTTGAAGCAGATAGGGCACGGCAACACCTCATCATCCCCCTGGCCTGAACCCAGTTCCTCCAACACACTCTCCTCTAGCACCTGGACACACAGCTAACAATATTAATGACTTAACTGGGAATGTAATGCGGTGGAGTGGAGGAGATGTGTGAGTGTATATGTGCGTGCACAAATTTGACTGTGTGTGTGTGTGTGTGTGTGTGTGTGTGTGTGTGTGTGTGTGCACATTACCTTTTTGTTGGGCGGTTCGTCACCTCGCTCCATGTCCTCGTCCATAGCCGACCTCCTCTTGGCGGACGGGCGTCGTCTCTTGGTGGGCGAGGGGGGGCTAATAGGAACGACACCGGCCGGGTCTTTGTCGTGGATCTTCATATGTCTGCAGGGAGGAGAGATGGAGACAGGAAAATACATCAGAACAGAACAGCACAAAACAAGTAGCCAGGTCCCTGATCATTTTGTGCTTTAAAGTCAACTCCTATAGCCAGGTCCCATTGGCAAGCTGTTTGGCATGACAATTCCATTAGGAGTTGGCAGGAGAGCAGAAAAAGACTGGCACCCAGGTTACAAATATGGTCATTGAGGAAAAGTTAGCTGAATATCTCTGTGATCCTGCTTCGTGATATACCCCCCCAGGTCTCCCCTGCTAGTAGTATTATACTGCTTTCACATAGGATTCATGGTATTTTGCCTGTTAATTTATATGACCCCTTTACAAACAGCCCCATTTTTACCACATTGCCTTTTAAACGTCCCGTGCGCATGCCGGGGACGAGTGGCAGTAATGGTGTGCAGATGTGGGTGGGCGACTATTTTAATAAATCCATTGAGAATATACACCATCAAAAATAAATCCATCATTAATTTGTTTAGGCAGGTCCTAAGAAACATTGTAAGACTAATCAAATATTTAGAGTTTAATTTGTTACTGGTCTGTGCAGCCTACATGGCTGCGGCATGCACATTAAATCAATAGTTATTTTGTTCATTAAACAGACAAGACACACTTAGGCTACCCTGATCAAAGTCAACACACATCTTTTATAATAGACTAATAATATTATGAAAAATAACAGAATCAAATTCTACAAATATGTTTCCCACACAACTTCATGGCAACGTGTGGAACCGCTGTCATATAAACCAAGTGATATTTTGAAACAGCCCAAGGCAAGCCCATGCTTTTTGATCAACGTTTAATCTCTTTTCTACCCTCACTCTGCCTTGTTAGAGAGCAGGCGTAGGGTCTTACATTGAGAGTATCTTCATCATGACACCTATAGAAAATAACAGCAATCTATATTTTCAGAAGCATGTGAGTCTCTTGTTCATATTTCACAACCTCCGCGGGCTTTTGGAGTTGCCTATACGCGATCCAGCAAAATAATAGGCCTACTCTTGATTGAGGATACATTATTGCATGCTAAATGTTTCTGGTCAGTGATAGATGAGCTCTACCACCTCCACTTATTTTCCCAGCCAGAGAATTAACCAGATATACAGACGGAGATTCAGTGAAACAAAATCCCATTGATTGATTAAGACGAGTCACAGGCTTTTGGTCAGGAGTAGGCCTAGGCTACTGCGAATGAAGAGCAAAAGAATCCACTTGTTAAGCTACATAACATGCTGGCACAATGTTCTAATAAATGAGCCACCCAGACAAAATGATCATGAGCAGCATTCACCTCAACTTAGCTAACATTTCCCCAGCCTAATTGTAGCCTAACCAATATCCAAATGGAGATTCAGTGAAAATAAAACACTTGTCTCAAAGCAGCGTGAAACGGTGCTGAAATAGTTTCTAAAACAATCATATTGTTTACACAACAGTTATTTTATACAAGTAACAGTTCCGGAACACAGTGGTCTTGTGTTAGGGTCCAGACATAACAGGAGTCTATGAAAGCCATAACCTCACAGTCCAACACAGAGCACATCCCTTGAGAAGTTACAACAAATTCTGCCACCAGAATGGTTTGAAAGGTGTATTACAGTAATTATCCTAAAAACAAATGCTGGATTGATGTACACCACATATTTAATTCCCAGTAATTTGCAGCAAACTTCAGATCTACTGAAGAGACAGCTTGGAGGGTTGCCAGATTGGGGAGATGGGCTCAATAATCTCCTCACGCACACACACACACACACACACACACACACACACACACACACACACACAGGTGTGGACACACACCGGCTCACACACCAGAGACATGCCCATGCCAGAGTATGTGAGCAGAGTTGAGCGTTCAGAAATCCCGCTTCTCGCTCACAGGAAGAAAAAAAACTGCCGCTCCAAATTCGCTTCATTCATTAGAATCACCACTTAAACAACACTATTTCTGTGACTACCTGGACCTACCATTTGACTTTGAAGTATTGAAACCAAACCATATGATTTTAATGAAAAGTATTTTAATAAAACAGGAAAAGGTGACTGTAAGAAGCGCTCGTCATTTCAAATAGGCCACATGTCGTATTAAACAGCATATCAAAACTGCACAGGAGCCAGACAGGGAGCCTAAGAAGGAACAACAATTAATTATTTAGGCTATATTACTAGCCTATTATTTCAAGGCTAGTCTACAAAGAAATACATTGTGAAGCACTTGCGAGTGTGACACACTAGGCTGGCAGGAAGATTAAACGCTCAGCATTTAAACATTTTGTTATATTAAATCATTATATAGTCTGTAAATTGGGCATATAGGCTGTGACTTAGTTAGAATGCTACAGTGCCTTTGAATTCACTTTTAGAAACACACGTTTGGTCAGTCTGTGGCTTCAGGCTCATGCCATGGTGCCTGGAGAGCAGGCCAGCAGCAGAGAATACCCTCTCCACGGTGCCTGGAGAGCAGGCCAGCAGCAGAGAATACCCTCTCCACGGTGCCTGGAGAGCAGGCCAGCAGCAGAGAATACCCTCTCCACGGTGCCTGGAGAGCAGGCCAGCAGCAGAGAATACCCTCTCCACGGTGCCTGGAGAGCAGGCCAGCAGCAGAGAATACCCTCTCCACGGTGCCTGGAGAGCAGGCCAGCAGCAGAGAATACCCTCTCCACGGTGCCTGGAGAGCAGGCCAGCAGCAGAGAATACCCTCTCCACGGTGCCTGGAGAGCAGGCCAGCAGCAGAGAATACCCTCTCTGCGCTTGCAGAGCCACTGGGGATGCTAAACACCCTTCGGGCCACTCTTGCCAGGTTGTGTAGGGATGCAGCGTTATTTGTTTTATTTTTCTATAGGTAGGCCTAAAGGTTTTTAGGCAAAATAGCCTTATCAAAACAGAAAGCTCCTTGAAAGAGGTAATATGCCAGGCCTATTGGGCCAAAATCAATGATAGCCTATTGTATAGCAAATATAACGGAAATGAACGAAACTTTTAAGAGATCTGATTTTGCTACAATGACACACTTAGCTAGCTAGCCACCTCCTTCCTTTCTGTTAGCGTGTGCACCTAGTACACCATCATGCTTTCGGGATACGTGTCTTTTCAGATTCCACAATGATTCATCACCCCACTCCCTCTCTTGCTCTTGGTCCTCCTCATCTTAGTAAGTCACCTTGATTTTGCACCTGTGTGTTTTATCAGTTTCTTTATGAAAATATTAACGAACTCCATGAGAGTAGCTAAAGCAAGGGGCTATAGCAGCACACAAGTAGACTACAAATGCATGCTGGGCCGGGCATGCCCTGAGCTTGTGAAGTGAAGTAAGCACTAGTCAAATTGGGCATGCTGCGCTCCTCGCTCCGATCCAGCGCCGCTCACACACTCTGACCCGTGCGCACACCAAACACACACACACACTTGGGAGGAGGGCAGGGAAGGCGGTAATAGTCTAAGTTGCTCCAATTATCCAGCAGGCCCATATAAGGACATAACTCCGGGCCAGGGAAAAGGGCTGAGGGTACCATGAAGGGCAGTCATCTCCATCACTGTAATGAAGTGGAGCCCTTTCCATATTATATCTATCAAATTTGCCTTGTCTAGTAACATTTACAGGGGTAGTTCAGCTATTCATTTCTCCATTTATGGCATTCAGATATAGTAATACAGTTGGACATGGATTATGTTCATTTGTACTATGGTGGATGATTGGACCACAAAAAGAAGCCTGTTGAGACAGAGTCATCTGGAAGCATTTGTTGCTGCCGCTAACTTCCCTCGCCTCCTCCTCCTCCTCCCTCCTCTTCCCCTCCTGAAGACGAAGAGAGACGGATGAAAAGAAGAAGAGGAAAGAAGAAGAGAGGGAAGGAAGAAAAGGAGGGAAGAAGCCATTCCCCACGAGAGGCTTACTCTTCCTTCTTCCCCTCCTTCTCTTCCTTCTTCCCCTCCTTATCCTCCTCCTCTTCCTTCTTCCCCTCCTTCTCCTCCTCCTCCTCCTTCTCCATCTTCCCCTCCTCCTCCTCCTCCAACACCGCTTAACTACACAACATTTCAGCTGTCGGGCTGGAGTCACATGGCGGAGAGAAGGGGAGGGAGGGAGAGAAAGAAGGGGAGGGAGGGAGAGAGAGAGGGGGAGGGAGAGACTGGGGAGGGAGAGACTGGAGAGGGGGAGGGAGGGAAAGAGAAGAAGAGACAGGGAGGGGTGTACAGAGAGAAACGGGGAGAAAGACAGATGAACAGATAGAGATGTGAGAGAGCGAGACGGAAAGATACTAGAAAAGAGAAAAAGAAGAGAGAGGAGATAATGTCTCACAGGTATTATCAAAGGAAGTTGTGTTATCTATGGGGGAGGGGGGAAAGATGTGGGAGGAGGAGTAGGAGGGGACAATGTATAGCTGGGGGGAGAGGGATAGAGGCAAAGGTATAACTGTTAGATAACTTTGTCAAGGTGTACGTGACTTGAGTGTGTCCTTCGGAAGCTGATTACATTAGTTTAAACTTTGAGAGGGGGTCACTGATAACGGCAGAGCTAGGAGAATAGTAATGAAGGGGGGGGCTAAACCATACAGGACCTGGTGAAAGGTCAAATGCCATCAGTTGATTTAAGGATGTGTGTGTGTGTGTGTGTGTGTGTGTGTGTGTGTGTGTGTGTGTGTGTGTGTGTGTGTGTGTGTGTGAAGGGAGGGGGGACAGGAGGACTAAGACCCTGGAAAACACATCAGCACATCCCTGGGGCTAGCCCACAGAGTCCTACATCAGTACATCCCTGACAGGCCTGGCCTAGCCCACAGAGTCCTACATCAGTACATCCCTGGGGCTAGCCCACAGAGTCCTACATCAGTACATCCCTGACAGGCCTGGCCTAGCCCACAGAGTCCTACATCAGTACATCCCTGACAGGCCTGGCCTAGCCCACAGAGTCCTACATCAGTACATCCCTGACAGGCCTGGCCTAGCCCACAGAGTCCTACATCAGTACATCCCTGACAGGCCTGGCCTAGCCCACAGAGTCCTACATCAGTACATCCCTGACAGGCCTGGCCTAGCCCACAGAGCCCTGCATCAGTACATCCCTGACAGGCCTGGCCTAGCCCACAGAGCCCTGCATCAGTACATCCCTGACAGGCCTGGCCTAGCCCACAGAGCCCTGCATCAGTAGCCAGTCATAGGGCCTCTGTGTGTACTAACATTTGTGTGTGTGTGTACTTACATTTGTGTGTGCGCGACTGTGCACCCATACTTGACAAGTTGTCCCTGCGCATCTGCTTGAATAAAGATGGGTACATTATTGTGCAATTGTGTGGGTGAACTTGTTTGCGAGTAACTTCAATAGTGTGTGTATGCATGGGTTTATAATATAGCTATATCTGTGTGTTTGTGGTGTAAGTGTGCACGCCGGTGTGCGTGCGTGTGCGTGTGTGTGTGTGCGCGTGTTCACCAGCATAAGAGAGGAAAGGTCAGTAGGTAGCAGAGATCTCAGCTTTCACTCTGAAGTCAGTAACTGGGTTATAAATAGCAGGCAGCGAGCTGGCCACCCATCTGGGGACCTGACAGGCAGCAGCCGCATCCCCTAGACTCTGACCGCTGGCGTCAGCCAATCCCGAGAGAGCCAAGCTGTCATGTCAGCACAGCATGATTGGATGAAACCAACTTGTCTTTGTGTCACCTCAGCCATCCTCCTCCCTTCACCTGCCTAAAAAACATTTCCACACAGTCTATCTAGTTGGTTGATGGTTTGATGCACACCTGCAATAATGCAGTTGTCTGTAAATTGCAAAAACACTACTTTCATGTGGCAAAATATCTTATCTCCACTATAAAAGAGGACTGATGAGGACATTTTCCTAGGCTACATTGAGAGGCCTCAGACCTCTGAAACAGCTCAAACTGTATCAAGGTTACAACAAAACACTATCAAGATACATAACAGATCTATTTTTTTATAATTCATAAAGTAAGTTATTCTTATGGCCAGTCGAGCGAGAGAGAGAGAGGGAGAGACTGGTCTACTACTATTGCTTTAATGTATTGTTATTCTCATTAATATTGTTGTAGTTGCTGTTAATGGTAATCACATTTCTACTACTACTATTAATGCCTTATTGCTGTTGGTCCCACCATTATTTGTTATAAGTATACTTTGACAATGTAAGTCATTTAACTTGCCATGGCAATAAAGTCTACTGAATTGAGAGAGAGCTCAGACTGTGACAGTGGGGGTTGATGATTCAACAGCTTCCTTCTCATCCAAACTGAAAAATTCCACTGCACCACGACAGTGGGTGGACAGGGGGCGCTGTAGCATCAAAATGCTGCCCCCTGATCTTGTGCAATGTCACACCAAGGGCACTTCTCCTTACCAATGCACATTCTCTATCCCGCTCTTCCCCACTACCCTTTAGTGTCCTCACTGTCTTGTAAAGAGTTAAAGCAAATAAAAGTGCCCCTCCACTACCCCCTGGCTCAGTCTATTCACCAGGCCCTTAAATAGGGTTAGGATGCCTCTCCTTGGCAACAGGCTCACAACAGCAGGCCCCATTTCATGTGATGCTCTGGCAACAAAATGGCTGCTCCCCTGCCAGCCACATGGACAGCTCCATCACATCAGGCTAGGGCTGGATCAATTCAGTACTGTGGAACATTCACAAGGAAGGATGCAGATAGGATGAGTAGAGCGCACTCAATTTCCTATTCTACTCTATCAGAACGATCTGAATGTTCCAACTTGCTGACGTATACACCCCTGTGCTTTGAGTTTCTTACCCCAAAGCATAGCTTATTTTTGGACTGTTGAGAAAACTATCAACAGAATGGTGAAAAAGAACACGAATATGGGAAGAAACAACGTAATTTTTTTGGGATGCAGCGACCAACACACAAACTCCTTTCTGACACACTCTCGTATTCTCTCAGATTGACTCGGCCTACACTAATTCTTTCCTGCCCACACCTCTTCATTCCATACACATGAGAGCTCCAACGACGGGGCAGGCAGACTACTGTCCTGGTGCATCCCTCTCGTGCAGATAGCAGACTTCAACAGCCAACCGTTTAGATTTTACAACACCACCCCCACTTTGTCAGGATAACTTCAGAAACTAATGTTGTGGGGCTGGCCAACTCAAAGGGATGGGGCTTCTCACAACACATCACACATCAATTAAACCTCAAGCCCCCAATTCTAACACACACACACACTCACAATAAAACCAGAAGAGCGCAGAGAGAGGAAGTCGGTATTTAACCCTGCCATCAGTCAAGTATGCTGGCAGCAGATGCCCAAACAGTTGTTGTGTGTGTGTGTGTGTGTTGAAGTGGGGCAATGTCATTTTCCCACTTCCTGTCCTCTGCTTTGCCTAAACAGCGTCAAACACACACACACACACACACACACACACACACACCTTACCAACCCCTGACAATGCCCATATATTTATCTCTGTGCCACAGTCCTCCATCCTCCTAACCCCCACCCCATCCCCCCTCCAGGCAAATGGCCTGCCCTGACCAACGTTAGCATATCAATTCTAAAAGATATAACAAGGTATTTTATTTTATTTACAAACAGTATAACAGTTTGTAGAAGCAGAATATTTCGGTAAGCATTTCTGTAAATGCTTTCTCTCTGGGAAAAACTGAGCCCTAAAAATATGATTTTGTTTACAGATTATTTTGTTTTATAACAACTGCTGGGCTATTCTAAAGGGCGTGTCTGCAGTTAGCGACAGGTGCTAACGCTGGGATTTTTGCTGGCTTTATGTGGGGACAGTACTCCACATGTATTTGGGTGGTGCTGCTTTCACACCTGGGTAGGGCACCATTTACAGAAAGGCTTAAAGACCAAAGCTTTAGTGTTGGTAATACTCTGGGCCTTTCTTGGCATACAATCTTTACACAGTCTACTGCATTTCTTAATCATTTTCAAAAGCTTAAAGGGAAAAAAGCTATACAGGTTAACTTCCTCAGGCAATAAAATAGGTGCTGTACAGCTATACAACATTAGCAATAATAGGTTTTATTCTAGCCTCTAGCAAAAAGAAAACAATGCGAAACGCAGAAATCACATCTGTCCCTACCACAACTCCTAAACATTAGTAGGTAGCCCTGTGATACTGAGCGAGGTGGAGAATGAGTTAGAGTGTGTGTGCGTGTGTCTGACCTGTGCATGTTGCCATTGGTGGTGAAGGTCTGGCCGCAGAAGGAGCACTTGTAAGGCCTCTCTCCGCTGTGCACTAGCATGTGGCGGTCCAGCGAGCTGGCTGAGCTCAGGGCCTTGCCACAGATGCTGCATGAGTGGTCCGTCGCCCCATTGTCCGAGTTGTGCTGAAAGAGATGCATATTATTATTACGGCACATTATACATTATTACTGAATGTCTGAGAGAACGGTAGTAGTAGTAGTAGTAGTAGTAGTAGTAGTAGTAGTAGTAGTAGTAGTAGTAGTAGTAGTAGTAGTAGTAGTAGTAGTAGTAGTAGCAGTAGTAGTAGTAGCAGTAGCAGTAGTAGCAGTAGTAGTAGTAGTAGTAGTAGTAGTAGTAGTAGTAGTAGTAGTAGTAGTAGCAGCAGCAGTAGAAGTAGTGTTACCTGTCGGATGTGCATAGTGAGCTGGTGCTGGGTCATACAGTCTTTCTCACACAGGGGACAGATGAAATCTGTATTGACGTCTTTGGTTTCCTGTAAAGCAGACACACGAGACCACAGGTTACAACTAAGAGAGGCAAGATGGGAGAATACTGTGTCAATGGATGATCTTAGTTAAGCGCGTTTGGATTCATCCCATTAACAGGTGAGACGAGAACTTTCCACTGCGGCTAAATTTGATATTGGAAAGTATAAAATGTATGGTAGAAATGGTTAAGCTTTGATCGTTGGGATAAGTTTGAGGGGGTCGGCTATAGATGGGTTAGCTGACAACGTCACAAAAACGATGTGCAAGCTTCAAATGGGGCAGATGTCCATGAGTTGTTGTGATTCTGGATGGCCAGATAGCTAGCAAGAATGACAAGAAACTGCCATGTGGGGAATCATAAGTGGCTCATTTCAGCTTGTTTCATCTTGTTATTGATACCATGTCTTGTTTTGAGGTCCTCTGACTGATTTCATGTCAATGCTAATATGGCTAAAATTCACTAGTTAGCTAACCAACAACTGTAACGATGTATTTGAGAGACAATTGCTCATTGTGCAAATGTATTTATGTTTTCAGTAAACATTGGAGACAAAATAAATTCATGTTGTCAACAATCTAAGCCAACCCCGTCTGTTTTGCCCCACAGTTACGCATTCATCGGTTTTGTGTAGTTGGGCTGTGGTTGGTGGGGCCTGAAGCACTGATGGCGACTTCATTCACCATGGGGAAAATCCCATAGGGTCTGCCATCCTATCCTTGTGCACGAGTGGAGTGATTTTCATTACTTACAGTTGAAGTCAGAAGTTTACATACACCTTAGCCAAATACATTTAAACTCAGTTTTTCACAATTCCTGACATTTAATCCTAGTAAAAATTCCCTTTCTTAGTTCAGTTAGGATCACCACTTTATTTTAAGAATGTGAAATGTCAGAATAATAGTACAGAGAATGATTTATTTCAGCTTTTATTTCTTTCATCACATTCCCAGTGGGTCAGATGTTTACATACACTCAATTAGTATTTGGTAGCATTGCCTTTAAATTGTTTAACTTGGGTCAAACGTTTCAGTTATCCTTCCACAAGCTTCCCACAATAAGTTGGGTGAATTTTGGCCCATTCCTCCTGACAGAGCTGGTGTAACTGAGTCAGGTTTGTAGGCCTCCTTGCTCAAACACACGCTTTTTCAGTTCTGCCCACAAATGTTCTATAGGATTGAGGTCAGGGCTTTATGATGGCCACTCCAATACCTTGACTTTGTTGTCCTTAAGCCATTTTGCCACAACTTTGGAAGTATGCTTGGGGTCATTGTCCATTTGGAAGACCCATTTGCGACCAAGCTTTAACTTCCTGACTGTTGTCTTGAGATGTTGCTTCAATATCCACATAATTTTCCTTCCTCATAATGCCATCTATTTTGGGAAGTGCACCAGTCCTCCCTGCAGCAAAGCACCCCCCACAGCATGATGCTGCTACCCCTGTGCTTCACGGTTGGGATGATGCTCTTCGGCTTGCAAGTACCCCCTTTTTCCTCCAAACATAACGATGGTCATTACGGCCAAACAGTTCTATTTTTGTTTCATCAGACCAGAGGACATTTCTCCAAAAAGTACGATCTTTGTCCCCATGTGCAGTTGCAAACCGTAGTCTGGCTTTTTTATGGAGGTTTTGGAGCAGTGGCTTCTTCCTTGCTGAGCGGCCTTTTAGGTTATGTCGATATAGGACTCGTTTTACTGTGGACATAGATACTTTTGTACCCGTTTCCTCCATCATCTTCACAAGGTCCTTTGCTGTTGTTCTGGGATTGATTTGCACTTTTCGCACCAAAGTACGTTCATCTCTAGGAGACAGAACGCGTCTCCTTCCTGAGCGGTATGACGGCTGCGTGGTCCCATGGTGTTTATACTTGCGTACTATTATTTGTACAGATGAACGTGGTACCTCAGGCGTTTGGAAATTGCTCCCAAGGATGAACCAAACTTGTGGAGGTCTACAATTTTGTTTCTGAGGTCTTGGCTGTTTTCTTTTGATTTTCCCATGATGTCAAGCAAAGAGGCACTGAGTTTGAAGGTAGGCCTTGAAATACATCCACAGGTACACCTCCAATTGACTCAAATTATGTCAATTAGCCTATCAGAAGCTTCTAAAGCCATGACATCATTTTCTGGAATTTTCCAAGCTGTTTTAAGGCACAGTCAACTTAGTGTATGTAAACTTCTGACCCACTGGAATTGTGATACAGTGAATTATAAGTGATTGTAAACAATTGTTGGAAAAATTACTTGTGTCATGCACAAAGTAGATGTCCTAAACGACTTGCCAAAAATATAGTTTGTTAACAAGAAATTTGTGGAGTGGTTGAAAGACAAGTTTTAATGACTCCAACCTAAGTGTATGTAAACTTCCGACTTCAACTGTATATTATTTTTATAATAAAGACCAGAATGGTCATGGGAAAAGAATACAGGTGAAAATCTTTCCCCCCATTGATGATCTGTATTCTGCGGTCAAAATTACAGAGAATTGCACCTGCTAGTCCCAGCGAGTTTTGGATTTGACCCTGTCACTCATTCGCCTGTAGCCCTGTGTGTGTGTGTGTGTGTGTGTGTGCGCGTTTTATTAGTTTGTGTGCGTGCCTGCTTGCATGTATGGGTGTTGTGTTGTTTGTGGAGCATGGTGAGGGGGATGTTTCACCTTGAGCTCAGTGTAACCCTACACCCCAGGGCCCACCTTCCTCTCTCTGCTGTTGACACTATAGCTGATCATTAACTCTGACTGACTGAACATAGCACTGGACTGCCATGGATCGCCCCATGCACGCACGCACATACACACCGTATACGTGTAAAGGTGGCAGATACAAAATTAGAAAACCGACTCGCACACAAATATGCATAATTTCTTTCACACACACACACATACTCTTATACAGACCGAGAGATCTTCAAAAACAATCTCTAGGAAGCACTTCCTTTTCCTCTCTTGGAGAGGCCTAGCAAAGGAATTGTTTAGTTCCTGTGCACTGCTGGCTTGGGCTCAAGTCCGTTTCACAGCCCAACGTCTCGCTGGCATCCAGTGCATTGCAGACATTTTCTCTCCACACACTCAAGTGATCTGGTGCTCAACTCCACTGTATAGTGTGTGGCAACAAAGGTCAAGAAACGTCTTTCATATAGTTCTGCTTTGGCTATGTGTACCAATGCCTTTCAAATGTAGTTAAAACTGAATTGAGTTTTAGGTTTGCGGCAAAAGATGCATAACAGCTGTTTGTCTTTAAAAAGGTAAAGCTCCATCCAGACAGACAATGTTTAGACCCCATCTCCTTTTTTCCCGCTGCTCTTTCTAAACCACAGCACTGTGTGAGATCTGCAAGCTGGCCACTAGTGACAACCTCTTCACCTGGTAGCATGCGTTGGCGCTATAGCTGTGTGCAGCCTATGCTAGAGCTGACAATCCGGTGAATTATCGTAAGCCGGTTTCCTCCAGAGGTGAGAACCTGAATATCTGGCCACTCCTGCTAAGGGGAAGTGAAGTACACTATGCATGTCAGGGGTAGGTGGGCCTACAACTCTGGTCCTGGATGGCTCTTCCAGGCTGTGTGTGTGTGTGTGTGTGTGGGTGTGTGTGTGTGTGTGTGTGTGCTCGCATCATAAGTGACAACTGTTTGTCCTACACCCGAGCGTTATGGCCCCCAATCCCACGCTTTAATAGGAGCCACGTAACCCTGGGCCGGGGAGACAAAAGGGGAATTGAGAGGCAAGGACCATTTGTTGCTAATCGTTTGAAGCTGGGACGCGAGAGTGGTGGAGTGAGAGGAGGGGGGGATGCTTCTTCACCTGCCCCTACACCCCCCCCCCCGTTCGTTTTTTTACGTGTGTTTGTACCGTGTTTCTCCTGGCATTGCGATTGAAACTAGGGGGTCTGGGTGGGGTGGTCTTGCTGATGGGGATGGACGGTGTTGAGGCAGGGGCTGAGGAGGGCTCCATGGCTCCGTTGAGCTGGCCCGCGTTCATCACCGTCGATATCATGGCATTGATGGATGACAAGTCCACGCCCTCCTCTGTCATATTCTCTCCATTTTCGTCTTCCTCCTCCTCCTCCTCCTCCTCTCCTTCCTCCAAAGCTCCGTTACTCCCTGGGAAGAATGAGGAAACCGCAGTTAGTATAAGCAAACTAACACACACACATACACACACACACGCAGCCTGGAAGAGCCATCCACACACAAGAACACTCGGATACGGACACACACACACCACCCTCACCTGTGTGCTCGTCCTGTGTGTGTGTGGAGTCGGGGGTGTCCTGCCCCTCAGAGTGCTCAGTCTCTCCAGCGCTCAGCTCGGCGCTCACCCCTCCCCCCGGACGCTTGTCCTCTGTGGCGCTCTCCATCACTGCAGGAACACAACATACACACAAATTTAGTGGCATGGGACATACACACAAACTAAGAAGGCGTCTGTACTTAGCAGGGTTGGGGTCAATTCCATTTAAATTCAGGAAGTTAAATTAACGTTGCCAGTTAAAAAAATGTAAGGATAACGTTGCCAACATGCCAATGCAGCTCAATGTTCTGTAGCTAGCTACTAACATTAGCACAATGTTCTGTAGCTAGCTACTAGCTTTAGCACAATGTACTGTAGCTAGCTACTAGCGTCAGCTAAATGTTCTGTAGCTAGCTACTAGCTTTAGCACAATGTACTGTAGCTAGCTACTAGCGTCAGCTAAATGTTCTGTAGCTAGCTACTAGTGTTAGCTCAATGTTCTGTAGCTAGCTACTAGCGTTAGCTCAATGTTCTGTAGCTAGCTACTAGCGTTAGCTCAATGTTCTGTAGCTAGCTACTAGCGTTAGCTCAATGTTCTGTAGCTAGCTACTAGCGTTAGCACAATGTTCTGTAGCTAGCTACTAGCATTAGTACAATGTTCTGTAGCTAGCTACTAGCACTAGCACAATGTTCTGTAGCTAGTTAGGATTTTTCGCCACAAAAAAAAAAGGTGCAAGGCATGCGCAAAGAGATACTGATGCCACATATGTACATACTTGTGAACATGAGGAGTCAGAAGATGGTAAATGAAGTGAGTATTTAGTGCACTTCACAGTGTGCACTAGAGCATAGGTTCGCTATGGAGTGGAAGGGGTTGAGGGGGCTGAAGGTTAATGCAGAGAGGAGGGGGAGGAGGAGGAGGAGGAGGAAGAGGAGGAGGGTGACCTTGTGATAGGGAGAGAGAAAGAATACTTTGAGTTGAGTTTCTATCCTCAGCATAACAAAACTAAAACTTTGGTAAGAAACCAATCACAGCAGGCCACCAATAGTGTCTATGGTCCATGGTCAAGTAAACCCATAGGCCTCCAGCCACTACCCACCCACACACAGGTTCAAGCCCTTGGTTTCCCCATCCTCTCTCCGCACCCGGGCCAGTACCCGATGGGAGGCTAATCTCTCTAATTCCATGCTAGACTGGCGCTTTTTGTACCATCCCCCCAGGCCCATCCTGTATCCAGCACACATCCCTAACTATGCCTACTATTGTTATCTGGCCCAGCTAACATGCTATGACACATTATCACAGGAGCTCCAGCTAATACAGATGGTGACTGAGAAACAGACGAATGACAGACAGAGAGAGAGAGAGGACAAAAGAGAGAAGAGGAGGATGCAGGAGAGGGGTAGATGGAAACAGGAAAGAAAGAAGGGGGGTGGAGAGAGATACAGACGCAGGATAAGCAATAAAGAGGAGAGAAGAGGGGTGAGAGAAAGAGAGAGTGAGAGGTCCCCCCCCCCCCCCCCCCGTTAATTGCAGATTCCCGTTCACAGCCCCACAGGAAGCTCCTCTCCGGTCCAGGCCACTTCCTCCTCCTCATGGAGGGGTGGAGTGTGTGTGTGTGCGCTTTAGTGTCTACATTCCTCTACATTGGTTATGGTGAGTCATTTGGAAAGGCAAAGTGAATGGAAAAGGGTGTGAGAAATAAAGGGATGGAGGAGAGGAGTTGGGGGATGATGGAGAGAAAAAGAAGGGGGGAAAGAGTCTTGGAAATGGGCACTGGAGTGGTAGAGAGAGATGAAATGGAGGAGAGGAAGGAGGGTAAAAGGAGGAGATGAGAGGGGGGGGAGAGGGGGTGAAAGAGAGGTGAGCTTGAACAGACTGGTGACGGCTGGTTGTGTTTATTCTAGTGAGCCCTGGGAGGGAGTAGAGAAGTGACATTACAGACTAAGGGTGTAATGGTTCACCAAACCCACGGTTTGGTACATATTGTGGTTTTGGGGTCGCGGTTCGGATTCGGTCCAGCGGGAAAATGAAATGCCAACAGTTACTGTAGTTAATTTTTATTTATTTAAGAAAATACAAAGTGCTGGTATTCATGATTCTATATATGATAATGGGTCATAATGATGAAGGCACAAACAGGAATACCAATACTTTTTATTTTCTTAAATGAAAACACACGATTACTCATCAACAACACTAAAATAAAATGCAATTTGCGTTTGAAATCAATATGTAAACATGGCTTATACATTGTATAGGACTATGCTATAATGTTTTCTTACAAACAGAAAAATATGCACACTTGTGTGACTCTCATAAAGGGGGCGTGGCTATAGCACGGTACTTGTCATTTCCCACTCTGGGGTAATGTGATGGGCTGTCACTAAGTAGCTCTCTGTAGCCCTGCAGGTCCGTCCATCCATCTGTAGTAAGCACAACACAGGGTGCATTGGCCAATTCATTGACAACTTCAGCTTTAGCTTGCTTATATAGAGCGGGTAGGCTATTACCGGTTTGCTGAAATGGTGCGAGAGGGTGAAGTTCGTAACGTGGCGCCATCACTTTTACGAGGTGCTGAAACCCCTTATTCTTCTCAACCAATGAGAATGGGCGCATATCCGCGGCTATAAACACTCTTGTAATTTCTTTGGCCGGTCAGAATCTGCTGCAAAGGGCTGCTTGAATGCAGAGGAGAGACGAAGTTGTGTTGTTGTTTTTTTGGCGTTTCCATCTTGCTCCGGTGGTAGGAATACTGTGATGTTGGCGTAAACGTGTCAACATGTTTGATAATTTGGCAGCTGCACAGGCTATACTGGTTGAGCAGTGGCAACATACTCTCTCGGTCCATCACCGTTGTAATCTATTGGGAAGCCAAAATGGTACCAAACTGGAGATTTAAACAATGATGGAGAATCCTCCTTGTTTATTGACCCTACAACTCGCTATCATACAGAACTAGTTGCCGAGCGCCTCACAAAAGGACAGTCTGAAATGCGCCAATTAAGATTTTAATTTGTATTACAACGTGCGCGTTGGCTCTAGTTGAATAGCCTGAAATGTTTTTTTCTGCCCAGATTTACTCAAGATGCATGCAATGCAGCATAGGCCTATAGGCCTAGTGTTTTTATATATCTTTTTTTTATGTATTCATTTTTGGTTCACAGTGTGGACCGAACCGAGGTCCCCGTAACGAACAGTTCGGTATGAATACATGTACCGTTACACCCCTATTACTGACAGCAACATGGCCTAAGCAGTTGCAGTGTCACAGACCCTTCTGTCAGAGTGGGAGGGTGGTGGGAGCATGTCTCACTCCAAGTCTTGCTGCTACTGCATCCCATGTACAAAATATTTAGCTTTTTCAATTGACATAAATTACTCTACAGGCATATCAAAGTTCCAGAGCGGGATAGCTGCTAGTTTAAAAAAAGTTATGGCCCATTTTATACAGAGGAATTGGCATAGTAGGCAATGTAACCAATCACAGCCCTCCTTTTACTTGCATCACTGCACATCCTGCAAATCATCAGCAGAGGGCGACCATTTTGAATCCATTTTCACGTCAACTCAGTTGGTAGTTCTTACAAATCGGATCGTAACTCTAAAACTAGCAAAGATCCCACTCTGGAACTCTGATATGCCCGTAGATTATATTATGTTCAACAATATATATTTTACAAAAATGACAAATCAAAAATGGTATATTGTCACTATTCATAAATTAATGTAAAAAAAAGTTATTGAAATCAAAATACTACTAGTACTCATATTACAGAGCAAGCGGTAAAGCTTCATATGACACCAAAGCCTTATAGCACCTACAGATGAAACACTATGGAGTCTAAAAGGAGGCCTGGGTTAAAAGGCCAAAATTTCATAAATATGCCAACTTTGATCAATTATTTCTCAATTATGCTTTTAGATACAAATGCCAAATATATGTCAACAATCCTCCCTCCAAAGGACTATTCTATGGATGATTTTTTTTTTTTTGTCTGGGTTTTGTGAGGAATCCCTCTCACACAGGATATAAAAACAATAACCCTCTCTGGTGTTGCAAGTAGCACCATACCCAGACCAACCGAGCCATTAAAACTGACTACATTATTGCATCATGCAAAAATTTATAAAAGCCACTGGTCAACAACTAGCAAAGTATTCTGGAGTAAGAAGCTTTCATTAGCTAATGGAGTAGCAGCTCTAACTAGTAATACAAAGCACAGACTAAGTGGTATGGTCATGTCGAATAGTGGGGGGTTGGCCAAGGGGTGTATTTGTTAACCGCAGATCTCAAGCTTAGCCGTGGATTTGTTTTCTTTCATTAGCTGAGCATCACCCCCCCCATCCCGCACTCTGATTGGTGGATCAAATGCTTGGGCAGCACTTTTTATGGCCTGTTAAAATGAACTGCAACAGATGGTAGGAACCGAGAAGAGGGAGAGGAAGGATGAAAGAGAGGGATAGATGGAGGAAGGAAAGAGGGGGACGAGAAACAGGAGGAGGACGAGGAGAGAAACCGATGCAGAGGGGAGTTGGAGAAACGAAAGAAGGCCGAGGGGGAAAGAAGGCCAAGGGAGGAAAAAAGTGTGGGGGGAGAGGGAGAGAGAGAGAGAGGAGAGAGAGAGAGTGCACAACGGCCGTGCTAGGTTTCCAGATTTCTGTTGTGATGTTTCAGAGCAGGCAACTGGAGGAGAGTGTTGCACTTGTTTGGAGATTCCAACACACGCTCATGGAGAGAAAGAGCTGTGTGTTACAGGAGAGGTGTGTGCGTGTAGAGGGGGCGGGGGAGGAGAGACAGCAGTGGCTGCTGTTACTACATCTGTTCCCAGCCATCACTCTCACTACAGATTTCACCCCCACCCCACCCCACCCCATCCCCATCCATAACCCACCATCCTACACACAGACACTGCACTGCGTGTGTGTATGGAAAGGTCGCCACACTGTGCCAAAGAGCAGCAAACAAGAATGCCTCTCCACTCCTCTCCTCTTCTCCTCTCCTGTCCTATCCTGTCCTGTCCCCTCCCCTATCCTTGGGCCCCTCGCAGCTCGCACTCCCTTCCTCTCACAGACTCCTCCCACCTCCATTTGCTCTCCCTCTCTTCTTCCCTCTCTTTCCATCT